GGATGAAGACATCATCCTTGCGGCTGTGGTGATCGAGGTCAACCTCGTTGGATCCAATTCCAAGGAGTGGTTCGTGGACACCGGTGCAACCCGTCATATTTGCTCAAACCGGGAGTTATTCACTACTTTTGAGCCATCAAATGGTGAGAAGGTGTGGATGGAAAACTCGGCTCATTCCGCGGTCGAAGGCGTGGGCAAAGTGGTCCTGGAGATGACTTCGGGCAAGGAGCTGACTCTCAACCAAGTGCTGTTCGTTCCGGAGATACGCAAAAACCTGATCTCCGGCTCGTTGTTGAACAAGCATGGCTTCCGCATGGTCTTTGAGTCGGACAAACTAGTTTTGTCTAAGTCAGGAATGCATGTGGGCAAGGGGTATGCATGTGATGGGCTGTTTAAGCTCAATGTAACGACTATTAATAATAATAATAAAACCTCTTCTGCTTACTTGCTTGAGTCTTCCAATGTGTGACATGGTAGACTAGAACATGTTAATTTTAATTGTATACGTAGATTAATTAACATGAAGCACATTCCTAAATTCATAATTGATGTGAAGCACAAATGTGAAGTTTGTGTAGAGGCAAAACTAACGAAAACGTCTTTCAAATCGGTTGAAAGAAAAACAGAATCACTTGAATTATTTCATAGTGACGTTTGTGATTTAAAATTATTACAAACACGTGGCGGTAATAAATATTTTATTACCTTTATCGATGATAACACTCGCTATAGCTACGTTTATTTATTAAAAAATAAACACGAAGCAATTGATAAATTCACTCTTTATAAGAATGAAGTGGAAAACCAACTTAATCGACGGATTAAAGCGGTTAGAAATGATCGAGGTGGTGAGTATGAAACACCAATTGGTGACTTTTGCGTGAGCGTGGGTATAGTACATGAACATACCGCACCCTATTCACCTCAATCAAACGGTGTTGCCGAACGAAAGAATCGCACATTGAAAGATATGATGAATGCGATGCTAGTAAGTTCGGGCCTCCCACAAAATATGTGGGGCGAAGCAGTCTTGTCAAGCAATTACCTTTTAAATAAGGTTCCCCGGAAAAAATATGATAAAACTCCGTACGAGTTGTGGAAAGGCAGACGGCCTTCCTATCAATATTTAAAAGTGTGGGGGTGTCTAGCAAAAGTGCTTGTACCAACACCTAAGAAAATAAAAATAGGTTCAAAAACGGTGGATTGTATTTTTATTGGATATGCACAAAATAGTAGTGCTTATCGGTTTTTAGTGTACGATTCGAATAATCCGGATGTACATAAAAACACAATTATTGAATCAAGGAATGCTTCATTCTTTGAAGACGTATTTCCATGCAAGTCCAACGAAGGACCAAACACGTTAAAACGAACATTTGACGTAGCTGTGGAAAATACTAGCGAGGGGTCCGGAGAAGAACCCGAACCCAGACGTAGCAAACGTGCTAGAATTGAAAAATCCTTCGGACCGGATTTTCTCACCTACCTGGTAGAATTTGACTCGGATATTCTAACATGTATGGTAGAAAATAAACCGGATTTTCTAACATGTTTGGTAGAAAATGAACCACAGACTTATACGGAAGCCGTGACGTCTACCCAAGGCCCTATGTGGAAAGAAGTCATCGAAAGTGAGGTGGATTCTATCCTTAAAAATCACACATGGGAATTGGTTGATCTTCCTCCGGGAAATAAACGTTTGGGATCCAAGTGGATTTTTAAACGGAAAATGAAACCTGACGGTTCCATCGATAAGTACAAGGCCAGACTTGTAATCAAAAGATACAAGCAACGTGAGGGCCATGATTACTTTGACACGTATTCTCCTGTGACGAGAATAAATTCCATTAGGATGATACTAGCAATTGCCGCATTGCGGAAATTGGAAGTTCATCATATAGACGTAAAAACCGCTTTTCTAAATGGCGATATAGACGAAGAAATCTATATGGAACAGCCCGAGGGCTTTCGTGTTCCAGGACAAAAAAGGAAAGTGTGTAAATTTATTAAATCATTGCATGGTTTGAAACAAGCCCCTAAACAGTGGCACGAAAAGTTCAATCATGCAATGTTAATTAATGAGTTTAAAATGAACGAAAGTGACAAATGCGTCTATGTGAAGAGCACGACAGACGGCTATGTCATTTTATGTTTATACGTGGATGATATACTCATCGTGGGCAGCAATAATCTAATGATTAATTCTACCAAAAGCATGTTAAATTCTAAATTTGACATGAAGGATATGGAGCTGGTCGATTTAATCCTTGGGATTAAAATAATTAGGGGATAGACGGTCTTACGCTAAGCCAATCCCATTACGTTGATAAAATCCTTACGAAATTTAATAAGGATGATTATCAAGAGGCAAGAACTCCATTAGATAAAAACGTAGAACTTACCAAAAATCGTGGAGAGTGTATTTCTCAAGTAGAATACGCTAGGATTATTGGAAGCTTGATGTATCTAATGAGTTGTACCAGGCCTGATATTGCCTTTGTGGTTAGTAAGCCAAGTAGATATAATAGCAACCCCGGTGATGAACACTGGAAGGCAATAGTAAGAGTTTTGAGGTATTTACGTAAAACTCAAAACCTTGGACTGCACTATGAAAGATATCCAGCTGTACTTGAAGGGTATAGCGACGCTAGTTGGATATCCGACATTAAGAACTCAAAGTCCACAAGTTGATATGTTTTCACTTTGGGAGGTGCAGCCGTGTCATGGAAATCCTCAAAACAAACGTTAATAGCTAGATCCACGATGGAGTCTGAGCAAATAGCCTTGGATAAGTGCACTGAAGAAGCTGAATGGCTACGCCATTTTCTCGAGGATATTCCAAGTTAGGAAAAGCCTGTCCCTCCAATATGCATAAATTACGATTGTCAAGCGGCAATTGGAAGGGTACAGAGCAATATGTACAATGGTAAGTCTAGACACGTTCGTCGTAGACATAATACCATTAAACAACTCCTCACAACGGGTGTTATCACTATTGATTACGTGAAGTCAAAGGATAACATAGCGCATCCGCTAACCAAGGAATTGGATAGAGAATTGTTGGAGAAGTTGTCACGAGGAATGGGACTAAAGCCCGTGAATTGAAAATTTCTATAGTGGATACCCACCCTAGTTGGTCCTAGGTTCAAAAGGGACAACTAAATTATAGAGCGAAGGATGGTCACTGTGGGGGTCCCGGACTCCTACCCAATCCTCGTTTAAAACAGTGACTCCCGCACGAGGTTAGCAAAAACGTTTGCTTTAATGATTCTAAAATGTTGATCTACTCGATAACATTGGAAGAGTATGCAGGATACTCGTGAAAGAATCACCTATGTGAGAGAGAAGAGGGTCGCTTAAAAGGAGAACTGTAAAGACTCAGTTCTTTAGAAACTCTTGCAGAACCAGGACGGTGACCCATGGCCAAAACGGGCACACTCATGAGAACGGAATAAAGTTGGATGGTTCTTGTGTAAAGATAAGTCAATGTTTACACGACGACAGTATAGAATAAGGACATCGAGTCTACTAGACAGCCAGTAAATAAACGTGTCTTTACAACGGAAGGTTCAAAGGATAAAACCTACCTCTCCGTATGCAAGGATCATCCGGTGAACACTACATGTCCTCCTATCTTCGTGTCTTTTTAAGTCTCGAAAATCAATTTTCATTCATGTGGGGGATTGTCGGAAAAATGTGTTAAAAATTGCATGAAATGGTCATTTTGGGGAAATTATTTGAGTGGGGTCCACTTCCGATTTAGGTCGGGTCAAAGTGGTTTCGGATTGTCCTTGTTAAGGGCTACAATTCGATATGTGGTACACTCAAAACGGATAATGGGTGAATGAGAAATTGATTCTCGAAGTTCACTCGTTGAAATGGAAAAACTAGAAAAATGATGGGTTTCTAGTGTTTTTTATCCCACACCGGAAAACTCAAGGGATTTTCACCCCCTTATAAAGGGAAGCCTCTTTTACGGATTTAAGATTTCTAAAGGTAAAGGCTCTCTCTTACACGCAGGGGGGGGGGGGGTGCCGATCAAATCCCGAAACGGAGAAGAAAAACCGCGACTCGTGTCCTCTTTCTATTGCTTCCGGACCAGAGAACCTAAGAGGGTTTCTGTTGGATCAGAAGACCTGATGGTTTCTGCTGGCTTCCAGACAGAAGGCCTTGGGGTCTTCTAGTGGCTTCATACCAGAACACCTCGAGGTGTACACCTGGTGGAGGTATTCTGTTCGCACCAGAAGGTCTTCTGGTCCGTTACAGCAATAAATGCCCAACATTCTTCTCTTTCAATGCTGCGTTAAATGGACAGTTTATGGACGATTCAATGCCCAACGGACTGGTCATTGATGTCCAACGTTCAGGTCCATTAACACCCCATTTAACACATAACAAATCCTCCTATAAATAGCCGACATGTGGTTTGCAACAACACAACTCACAATACATTCTTCACTTATTTTTGAGCTCTAAAACACTTCCAGCTACTCAGAAAATTCCTAAGTGTTCATACTGTGTTCCCGTTCGCCGGAACTCTCGTTTGTGTGCTCAAACGGTAGTTCGTTAGCCACTATATCCTGTGAAACGGTCGTTTCAACGCTCCTAGCACTGTGGGAGGCGACGAATACGTTTTAAGGACATCGTGCGTAGCACGAGCTCTGGCTAAACTCTGTTCCATCTTATTTATGTTTTTCTTTAGCTATTTAAATTAATTAATTATTTTTATTAATTAATATTTCTTCGTTTTTCCGAGACACACCAAACATTCAATTGATTCAACATTATTGATACTGAGTATGTTTTATACTCCGTATATGAACAATTATTGTTCTTTTCTCATTCACTCTTATTTTGAGAAATTTTAATCAAATTATTCTTTTAATAGGAAAAAATAAGTCCTACTTAGAAAATAAAATGTACTTAATCATATTTCTGAACTTTGTATGTTTTGATCTTTTGATCAATTTATATAATACGAAGTACTCCATAATGTAAAATGGGGTAATTTAACCAGACCTTTGGAACATGTTTTATTTCAAGTTTCAATTCAAATATGAAAACATTATTACATTACAGTAAATAAACATAGAGTACATCAGTACATGTATGTGTGTTTGTGTGTGTTTATACCATAAAAAAATTACATATTGCTAGTTAAATTAACGAACCACCAGCCAGCAGCCACTAGCATCTGAGGTTAGTCCCGGGATCGACACCAAGTTGCTGGCAATACTGTGTGTAGTACCCAACCCTCTTGGTAACCGTCTGCGGGTTCGCGTTGTCGCATTCGAGCTTACCATTGATGGCGCGGATGGTGGGGCCGAAACCCTGGCCGGTGGTGATGATGGAGTGGCAATTGTTCATCCAAAACCACAAAGCAGTCTTGAAGGAGACGACGGAGTCAGTGGCGACGATGTCGGGGTTGTTGAGGCCGTCGAAGTTGAGGCTCTTCCCGGCGGGGCCGTAGTTGAAGTTCCAGGAGAGTTGGATGGGGCCACGGCCGTAGTAGGCCTTGCCTTGGACGCATGGGTATTGTGTGTTGGTGTTGTCACAGTAGTTTCTGCTTGCACCATTTATCTCGTTAATGTAGCACAAGTCTGCATGCATGGATCACATCTTAATTAGTCAACATATATATACAACTATGAATAATGTTGAATTCAGACACGGGATACTTGTGAAGGCATTAAATACTATATTAACATGGTATCAGAGCAAGTCTGTTAGATCGATCCATGGTGTTGGCCCTCTTATGAAAAATGATGACATGATTATAAAAAATGACAATAACGAATCAATGAAAAAAAGAATGAAGACATGATCTAGATGAAGTGTCTGGTCGTGATGAGGGGTATTGAATTCCACACCGGATACTCGTGAAGGCATTAAATACTATATTAAGATCTGGATTACTCCTCATATGAGGTTGACCTTTTAGGATGAAATCTGAATCTTAACAAATAATTAATAATGTTAAACATAAACAAGCACGTTTAGTTAATTAGGCCTATGAAACCAATTCCAAACATGTATTTTGTTTAATCTATTTAGATTAAGTCTGGTTTGACCTGATTAAATTTGTGCAAGTCTATCTGATTTGATCTATTTAAGTTTTAGGTCTGATAGCACTAGAGTTGGGTAAAATGAGCCAAAAAAAATATCCACCTCTATTTACAACACTTGCAACCTTTTGATCTTTATTCTATTCACATACATGATACATACAAAGGGGTTATTTTTGTATACAGATCAAATTATACCAAATTTAAGTAATTTATACAAAAAATACTCCGTATATGAAAAGTGTTTTAACTATGAGTTACAAATACCCAATTATAGTACTGTATCGGTATATCGGAAACATTCCGTATCAGATAATCTAGGATAAGCATACCGTACGTTCTCAGGCCATATCTTCAATTTATTAAAACAAATTCAACTTTTTGGGTAATTATTTTAAAATTTCGAATACATGTAAATCGATTATTAATAAAATAAATTTGTGTGCCATTGTCAAAAAAACGTGTGCCGCGAAAAAAGATTAAATCGGGCATGATAAACATGACAAGAAGATTTTTTTCCGTGTCCACTTAAACATAAATTAATCAAAACAAGAAGTATACTCTGGTATATACTATCTAACTAATTAGATCATGGAAAAATCATTATTCTATGTATGGAATCAATTAAATAATTAATTTAGTGAACTACTATACTTACGTCCAGTTTCATGAGTAACATGGGCGAAAAAGGCAGCAATTTCCCTCTTAGAATCATCAGATGATGACCCAACCGTTCCAAACTGAGGGTACTGCTTGATGGCTTCAAGAAATGCAGCCCTGGTGTAGAACCCCTTCCCCTCACAGCTCGAAGCAGCCTGATTGGCTATCCCATTGAAAAACCCTTCAGTAACCACGCCCGCCACCCCCGACGATGACCCGCCACCACCTCCACCGCCACCCGCGGAGCGGCACGGGCCTTCCTGGCACCCCGTGCCGCAGTAATCGTCGGTGCTGCCGCAGTACCCCCACTTGCTACAGCACAGTCCCTGTTTAGCACATCCACAGTTTTGGGCTAAACTGGTCATTGACATGTGATGAAGGGATATGATGAAAATGAGAAGAGCAAGAAATCCTAATTTTGCCATTTTTAAGAAGAAAATGAGATTAAATTTGTTCGTTGGTGTTGAGTATTGAGGAAATGTGAAGTGTTTGGGATGTGTAAATATGTAATGGAAGCATGTATATATAGTGCAAATTGTATACGACCAAATCTGCATGCAACCGTTGACCACGGACAAGGTCAAAATGAGGCTATCTATCCATACGTACATATCTCTCTACTTGCGTATAAATCGTATTTATTGATTTATTTATGAAAAGGGGAACGCACACTTTTATTCTCTGAAATAGTTACCATATAAAAATGTCAGATTCGTATTCCCAATTTTGTAAATGTCACCCATCAATTATTCAAAATGCTGTAAATAAGCTCCTTTAAAAGGTGAAATGTACAATATGGTCGAGGAGTACATTTCACCCCTCAAAGGACCATATTTACAACAATTTGAACAATTGAGGGGTAACATTTACAATATCAGAATTACGGGTCTGACATTTAATATGATGACTATTGCAGGGATTAAAAGTGCGATTTTCCATTTATGAAAATTATTAGTATTGTTATATTGTAATATAGAATTATGATATGAAAATAAAGGGTGGATTTTGTATAATTGTTGACTTTGACATTGCATATTAGATGGACGTGAAATGTGAAACACACCTCATTTATTAGGACGTGTGGTTCGTGTGTTTGTTGAATAATGTGATTTGTTTTACCAAACTGATCCTACTGTTTGTTGGCTGAGTCAAAGTCAACTCAAAACATCATAAAATTACGAGTTGGGCTCAAATCAGACATGGATCGCCCACGTTTGTGACGCTTCCATAATCCATACGTCCCCAGGTGGACCCATTTCCGTTCCATAATCGGACAGAAAATAACCCAAACTATAACCCTACAATTGAGAGTTTGGGATCGCTTCATATACGGTAAGATCATCCCATTGTGAGCACCAAGCTCTACTCCTAATAAAAAGTAGTTTTTCACATTTTTATTTTAAAATTCATCAAAACAGTACACGTGGGTACAATACTGTTTGATGGTCCCAGATAGAGGTAAAAGTCTAGAGGGAGAGAGGGGGGGGGGGGGGGGGGATAGACTTTTAAAGCTTTTTCGACCTTTAAAAGTTTTCCCTTCTAGATGAGATGATCTATAATCTTTTGGGAGATTTATAGATGCACAGCGGAAGTCTTTAACCTCTTAGCTAAATAGTGTATAACAACTTTCTATGATGGATGAAGTTTGTGCTTTAAGGTGAGCAGTTGGCTAGGCAGTTGGCTAGAAATCAGGGAACTGCTTAGGCAACTGCTAACGAAATACTTAGTGTATGATGAAGGTGCACTCAGAATCTTTCTAGAGTAGGAATAGCTTTCTGATGAAGTACTGAGGTGGATTGATAATCAACCTTAAATGAGAGCAGTGGCCTTAGCAGTTGGGTGGTAACCAGGGAACTGCTGAGGCACCTGCTGAAGTAAAGGTGAAGGTATGGAAGGATTGATTATATGGTATTGCTCAGGATGATGTGGGCTTTCTGAAGATGTGCATTGGACCAAGTAAGTAGGATGTTTTACTGAGGTAGAGGTCTTGGCAGTTGTGTGATAATGAGGGAACTGTTGAGGCACCTGCTGGGTTATCACCTTGAATCACATAGGTCGGTTTGAACAGACTTCTTAGAGATAAAGATGTAAAGGTCTGGTAATGTCAAGATGTTCACAGGAAATACTTTTGTGTGAGCAGTGGGCTCAGCAGTTGGGTAGTCCCCAGGGGACTGTTGAGGCAACTGCTATGCCTTAAGTATGATTTCCTGAAATCTAATGGAACAGACCTTATAGTTGTGATATTGTGAGACTCTCGTATCTCAAAGAAAATGAGTTATTAAGCAGTAGGATAAGCAGTAGGGTCAATAAAGACTACTGCTTAAGATGCTGATGGCAAACTACAATCTTTTATGAGAAGCGTTCAGTGTGTGCTTTGTTGACTGAAAGTAAATCAACACACATTATATCCTGGTTCAAAGGTGGTGTAATCCTCCTACATCCAGTCTCATCCTATTTCAAATGAATTTCACTAATGTATTAAGCCCAATACACTTAGTGCCAATCTAGCCTTGACAACTCTGGCCTAGATTGAAGGTGTTTCACGAGGAGTACAACACCACTCCAAGCTACTCAATCCTTTAGGTTTTTCTCGATTGATCCAGTGGGGATCAAAAGGTACTCCTGACCTATCTAACCACACTCAGGCCGGGAACAACTGTCCTCCTGAAGTGTTCAACAACACCTTGTATACTACAAGGAAATTCTGGTCTCCAACTATAAACTAAGCTCTAAAAATATGAAATTGATGATCTAGTCTAAGAGCTTAGTGAAGCATGAGTCAAAGCAGAAAGTGAGGTTATTATCAAGCACTTTCTCTTTTGCTAGATATTCTTTGAATACTTATGGAATTTCTCTGCTTTGAACTCAAAAACTTGTTTTCGAACTCATGCTTCGGCCTTCATTTATAGGCATCTCCGGTAGATTAATCTCATCCGTTGGTTGAGATGATTTAATCTTGAGCGTTGAATCTTTGTTTTAGTAGATAACAACTTGTTGTTCGTCTTCTTCTTTGGAGCCGATATATCTTTTTGTGTCTCTCTGCCTAGCTGCTGCAGTTCTCCTGTATATATTCAACTAGACTGCGCCTCCCATGCTTTGTACGTTCTTTGCATTAAACATCCTCCATGCTTGGATTCCTTTTCTTTGATTGGCTCCGGTTTATCACGAGGTGATAAAACAATAAAAAGAACGGTTAATTTTTGAGTCTAATAAAATTTATACTGGTAGGATTATATCCTTTTAAGGTAAGTGAATTTTACCTTATTGCATTTTTACTTTCCAGTACAAATTTTATTTAGCCTTAAAAATTTTACATTTATTTGTTCTCAATTAGTGACGGAGAAAAAATATTTTTGTGATAAAGAAAATATATACCGGTAGGATTTAAATATCCGTTTAAGGTAATAAATTACCTTATTGCATCTTGACTTTTCCGGTATAATTTTCTTGATACAAAACATTTTACTTTTGTCTTTCGGTCACTCCAGCTAGTATTTCCAACATGAACTATTTATTTAATTGGTAGGATAACAAATCCTGTTTAAGGTAAAAATTATTACCTTATTGCATTTTGTGTTCCAGCTTAATAAATAGTTTGTTCGAGATGTTTTTGTGTTATTTGATGTATCAAAGAAATGTAACTGGTAAGGTCTATAAGAAATCATTTTAAGGTAGTTAAATATTACCTTATTGCATTTTATATTATCCAGTTAAATTTCTTTGATAATTGACACTTTCAACTTAACACTTTCAAATAATACTTTACTAGCTTAGCCAACTGTCGGAATACATCATTAAGTTAAATGCTACAAAAGAAGGGGGACATTTGAAAAGCTTTGGCATCATCAAAATTGTTTATCAAAATCTAGGAGTCTAACAATTTCCCCCTTTTGTGATGATGCCAAAAGAAGATAAAAGTTAAACTTCTTATAATAAAACGATAAAAGGAAAAAAATGTTTGACTTCTTTCTCCCCCCTCTTTTGGTAGCATCAAGCAATTACTCAATCCTTCTTCTTTTGGTAGCATCAAGCAATGCCTCCTTCCCATTCTTTGACAATCCTCTTCTCTGAGGTTCTTCATTTTCTCATTGAAGACACGCCATATTACTGAAATGGACATGGCAGCTTCAATGTTGGGTTCATGAAGCCATTGAAGAACGAATTGTTCTTCATTTCTCACAAACTCACCAGCTTGAGAGAGCATATCCATTGGAGTCATTCTCCAATTTCTCCAGTTAAGAACTCTCTTGAGTTGGAGGTCAAGAGCTTCTTTTTTCTTCAGAAATTGGACTCTTGATTCTAAGAATGCAATTGTGTCCAATTGCTGTTGGGTCATTCCTTGGGGAGTATGTGTTTGAGGTGGTGCCAGTGAAAGTGCTAGCGATAGCTCAAGATGGTAATTGTTGGAGTTGGTGTTTGCCATCTTGAGAGAAGAAGAGGTTTTGAAGGAAGGTTTGTAGAAGAAAAGATGCACGATTTTGAGATGATCTATCAAATGCTCGAGAAGAGGTTTTATATCCAATTTGTTCAGATCGTCTCTTCATCTTTCGAGATTTATTTAGGAGGTCGAGGTAATGTTGATTTAATGTTTTAGCGGCGAATATCTCTTTTCAAGAGAGCATGAGAATTTTCATTTAAATGGTATTGATGACCATCATTAATGAAGCCGCTGAGTAGGTTTAATCGGATCAACATGTGTTGCTCTTGCATGTTGCATGTGTCCTTAAATTCGCTCTGTTTTGAAGTCTGACACTTCCTTTTTGCATGCCTTGTTTGCTCAGAATATGGATAATTCTAGGATACTGTTTTAGCTTGTTTATGGCTAATTTTTCACAGTAATTAAAAAATAGTATACTAACTTTATTTGTAGGTAACTTTTTATTTTATTAGGACGCTGCAGAGAAGCAGGATGCTCCTAATAAAATTAAGTTTCTACGGAATAGCAGTATGCCTTTTTTCAATCCATATATGAGTCTACTGCTGAGTTTTATGGATCAATATCGTACCTTTGTGATTTGATATTTGATATTTGATCTTTAGCAGTTTGAGCCAGTTATTCCTCTTGTCCTCCAATGATCATGACTTTCAGATTTTTGTGGCAGCAGGTTCCTCTGTTTCAGCTGCTGAGTTTGTTGAGTCATGATCAATATTTCTCATCTTCTTCTTTGCTTTTGACATCCTCTTTCCTTCTGATTAGAGTTTCTGGTAAATCATAACTAATTCTTCTTTTGAACATATTTCCTTCTGTTATCCAGAACGTTGATTGGTCTCTGCCATATTGATTTGCTTTTATTGAACAAATCCCACCTGATTCTCAGAGTTAGTCAAGTCATTTGGTTTCTGGATTTTGTCAATTGAAGTTGATTAGTTTGCAATTGAGGCTTAGAATACTCTTTTCATCCCTTTGTTGAGTTTTGCTTGTTTGGATCTTCCCTTTGATGGAGTATATGCAGTACCTCTTTGTAGAAATGGGTAGTTTGGCAGTCACCTTGGATTATGTTTGCGTCTTGAGAACG